AATTGCAACTCAAGTATTGAAAGTATAAGTAAAAGTACAAGTACTGTGTGTATTAAAAAAAGGCAGTCAAAGGTTTGATAGGTATTGTTTATATTATTTCAAACGTGTGAAAGGACATACAGGTGTTTACAAAAAACACAAAACAAAACACAAATAAAGCATCTTAAGTTAAGCCTGGTGGTAAAACCTTATGATGGAACAGAAGCATCAACATGAGGCATCAAGCTCTTCCACCAACAGAATAATCACGGCCTCCAGGTAAACTAACCAGGTTTGGCTCTTAACCAGATACTGGGAATGCTTGATGGCTCACATACAATTTCTCCATCTTTCGGGAGGCATTTTTTTATAGGCTATGCTTGATGGCTCAAATCGGCCAATGAGGAGCCAGCTTCCCAAACCCTGACAGAGCTATCTACAGCTCTGGCTCTGACTCTATGACTGGGGATGATTCATTACGTTTACATATCAGTAACTATTCAGCCCGTGAAAGTAAAAGTAAAAGTATTAAATTAATCAAAAATATGTAGTGAGTAAAAGTAAAAGTAGGGAAAAAAATCTATACTCCAATAAAGTACAGATACTGCATTTTGGTACTTAAGTACAGTACTTAAAGGGGACATATCATGCAAAACCAAGTTTTAATAATTTGATTATGTACATTTGGGACTGTGGAGGGCCTATCAGCAGGCAAAGTGTGAAAAAAATGACTCAGTCATATTTTTGTGGGCTGCCTCAGTCTGAATCCAGGAGATAAATCAGGAGGTTTCAGGAGTGGGTAGTTTCTGACGTCATTAGCTCATTATAATATTCCAGCCTTTCACCTGCATGTTGCCCCCCCCCTCAGCTTACTCCCCTATCTGTGGAGACGTCGTGGTAGCGTGGATTGCCCGTGTCTCATTTGCATTTAAAGAGACAGGCACTCCAAAGCGAGCGCTCTGAACGGGGCTGTTTTGGGTTAGGGTTAGGGTTAGGGTTAGGGTTAGGGTTAGGGTTAGGGTTAGGCAGGGGGACTGAACTGCTATTGGGCTTCATCCTTATGGGATTTTGACCAAAGCTTGTCACAGACATTACATTAGGACACCAGGGAACTAGTTTAACTTGTTGAAATAGGGTATAATATGTCTCCTTTAAGTAGTTCTACTTGGTTACTGTACATCTCTGGCTGCTTGCTAACATGCCCCCCCCCCCCCCCCCCAGGAACCAACCCCTGTGAGCACGGCGGGCACTGCGTGAACACCGACGGCTCCTTCACCTGTAACTGTGCGCGGGGCTACGACGGGCCCCGGTGTGAGCAGGACGTGAACGAGTGTTCCTCCAACCCCTGCCAGAACGACGGCACCTGCCTCGATCGCATCGGAGACTACGCCTGCATCTGCATGCCCGGTAAACCCCCGGAGATCCATGAGCTGTGGGATCCATTCTAGGGACGTCCCTAGAACATATCCCGGCCTATCAGAGCATGTATTAAAGTTTAAAGTTATTTATTCTACTTACAGTGGGGGAAATAAGTATTTGACCCCTTGTAATTAGAGTTACCACTGACCATCTTCACAGTTACGTCTCACTACTATCTAATTATAAGACACACATTTACCCAAAATCTATCAGATATTAATTAAAAGTGACATGGCCTGTGAGGAGGATGAGTCCTTTTTGAGTGATCACTTCAGTTATCAGGAAGGATAAAAGGTAAAAAACCCTCTCAGGGGAGGCAGAAATGTGGGTTCTCACTAGGGATGTTCCCGATCCAGCTTTTTGAACTGGTCCGATCCGATCCCGGACTATCAGAGCATGTATTAAAGTTTAAAGTAATTTAGCCTACTTACTTAGTTGTCAGACTCATGTTGAACCGGGATTTACTCTGATAACAACTTAATGGTTAGGACACAGACCTGAGGGTCAGGAGATGCTAATGCTAATGCTTGTGTGGGATCAGAAAAAACTGGATCTGGAGTCTGGATCTGCATTTTCTCCTGTTGGCCGATACACATTCTTTACAAATATCGGCATTTGATCCGATCCAGATATCGGAGCGGGACAAGCCTAATCCATTCCACTCTGGATTGTGTTTTCAAAAGTGTGTTTGACTTTAATAAGGCATAGTAAAAATTTAAAAAAATGTTTATTGAAGGTTTTTTCCATTCTAGTGGACGGCATAAGCTTTAAGATTTCTTTCCAATTAAATGTTGAATGTCACAATGCAAACATATTTTGAATTTGTTTTTAACTTAGTAACATATTTATAACATATTTTTGCATTTGTTAACAGAATTCACTGGTATCTCCTCGTTTTTCCCCCCAGCCTATTCAACCCTTTGATTTATTTTTGTCTCTCTCAGCTCCTATGTAACAGGAAATTATTGTGGACATTTTTATATTTTATTGCATAATGCAGCAGTGTCCACTTCAGGGACATATACACATTTAAAACATTTTAAAAAACCCAGTGTAACCCAATGTAACAGGAAATTATTGTGGACATTTTTATATTTTATTGCATGATGCAACCGTGTCCACTTCAGGGACTTATGCACATTTAAAACATTTAAAAAAACAAACACTTTTTACCCACTTTAGACAGCTGTAGTGCAGTGCATGAAAGGGTTAAGAAGAGCCTGTGTGATGTGATGTGATTGGTTTTCACCGTGTCTTCTCAGGATTCGAGGGGACTCATTGTGAGATCCAGGTGAACGAGTGTGGCAGTTCCCCCTGTCTGAACCAGGGAAAGTGCGTGGACCACGTCAGCCGTTTCGTCTGCGAGTGCCCAGCAGGTCGGTGTCCCCAAAGCTCTCAGGGAGCCTGTTTTCAGAGCTCTGCGTCGGAGTTTGACTGCATAATTCTGTTTCTGCTCACAGGCTTTAGCGGGGAAATGTGTCAGATCGACATAGACGAGTGCTCCAGCACGCCCTGCTTAAACGGAGCAAAGTGCATCGACCGGCCCAACGGATACGACTGCGAATGCGCCGAAGGTAAGACTGATGTTCAACTCCATACCGATACTCAGGAAAATATTCGATACTCGATGCAATTTTCAATACCACAAGGATAAAAACAAAGACCCCAAAATTTAACTGAGTTTTGACAGGTTAGTGTCTTTGGTTTCAAACTGACCTGTTACTGATGTTATGGTGGCCCACATTAATGACCCTAACCCTGACCCTAACCCTAACCCTGACCCTAAACCTGACCCTAACCCTAAACCTAACCCTAACACTGACCCTGACCCTAACCCTAACCCTAAACCTGACCTTGACCCTAACCCTGACACTAACCTTAAACCTGACCCTAACCCTAACCCAAACCCTAACCTTGACCCTAATTCTAACCCTAACCCTGACCCTGATCCAAATCCTAACCCTGACCCTAACCCTAACCCTGACCCTAACCTTAAACCTGACCCTGACCCTGACCCTAACCCTAACCCTAACCCTAACCTCAAACCTGACCCTAACCTAACCCTAACCCTCCACCCTTCATAATTGTGAGAAATAAATATTTTTTGGTTAAACGTGTTTGGACTTATTGTACAAACCTATTTAACATCCACTATTTTAAATTAATATTATGGATAGAGTTTAATTCAGTGTTTGCAAGATTAATTTCACTATTTTTAAATTAATGTCTATATTGCCATGAAGCAATTAGGATTTTCTTGCCTGGGATCTTCCTATTGGTGACCTAATCAAAATGGCCGACTTGGATGTGGGGGAGTTAGATATCCATCCTTGGCTTCCTGCAGACTTGATTAATGTTGGCGTGTTATTATTAGCCATTAGCCGCAGCTAGCAACTCAAGGCTAACGTCACGTTAATGATCATAATGTGGACTATAATGTGGACTCTCCCTCAGGTTTCCAGGGCTTGCTCTGTGAGGAGAACATCAACGACTGCGACCCGGCGCCCTGCCATTACGGCGTCTGCAGGGACGGCATCGCCACCTTCTCCTGCGACTGCAACCCCGGATACACGGGCTCCATCTGCAACGTCCAGGTCAAGGAGTGCCACAGCAACCCCTGCCAGAACCAGGGCCGCTGCATCGACCTGGTCAACGCATACCAGTGCAACTGCCTACCAGGAACTACAGGTACCGCGATACTGTCTTCAGAACTACTGCATGTGATATGATCAGTGTTGGGGAGTAACGGATTACATGTAACGACGTTGCGTAATTTAATTACAAAAAAAAGAGTAAGTGTAATTCGTTACAGTTACAATTAGAAAATATGTAGTTGAGTTACAGTTACTTCCGAAAATATTAAGAATTACAAATTAAGTTACTTTTTTTTTTTAAATAAAGAAAAACCTTTGCAAAATATGCAACTCACTGATAGACGAAGCGTATTGATTAACTAATATTTGACTGTTTGGTGTTGATGCATGACAAACGTTTATCGATGTCTATGACCTAGCCTAGCCTGCCTAGCCTAGCCTAGCCTAGCCTAGCCTAGCCTAGCCTAGCCTACCTAGCCTACCCAACTGTAGGGTGACCAGACGTCCTCTTTTTCCCGGACATGTCCTACATTTCAGACTAGGGTTGTCAAAAGTATCGATATTTAAAAAAGTATAGATACTAAAATGTTGTATCTGGATACGACTGACCTGCCGTCGCTGCGCCCCTTGTCTCCGATTTATTTATGTATTTATTTACGTTGTTTATGATCATTAACAAGACGTTAGGCTTGAACTGCTAGCTGCGGCCAATAGCTAATAATAACATGCTAAAATTAATCATGGGTTAATACTCATTAAAACCTTAAAGTAATCAAAAAGTAATCAAAAGTAATTAGTTACATTACTTTTAAAAGTAATCGAAAAAGTTACACTACAATTACATTTTAAACAAGGTAACTTGTAACTGTAACGGATTACATTTTTAAAGTAACTTACCCAACAATGGATATGACCTGTGTATATACTTTATGTTGTATATTTATACTCTTTTTCACGTTCCTATTATTTCCTAATGTGATTTATTTTAATGGTTTGTTCATAATGTAATGTCATTTCTTCATGTGAGGACCCCAGGAAGACTAGTGGCCATTTATTTGGCAGCTAATGGGGATCCTAATAAAACTAAACTAAACTAGACTAAACCGGCCAAAGCTCCCTTCAAAATGGGTCAGAAGCTGAGATTTGGGAAAAAAAAGACGTCAGAAGGTGAAACAAATCTGCTTGAATATAAAGACTGACTCTGGTTGTAGTTTTTTTTTTTAAAAGGAAACCTTTTAAATTGTGTGTTTAAAAAGAGAAAAAAGGGCTCTGCAGAGAATTTCCAAAAGCTTTAAACCCTTTAAAGACTGATCCAAGAAAAATAGGAAGAATATTGGATTTTTTTTGTCTGAAGTCTTTCTCTGGCCCCTCAACAACATATGAAGAAAAAAAAACTGAAATTATTTTGATCAAATTAGCGTGCAATAAGTCAAAAATATATTTCCGTGTAGTCTTCTACTGGCTGTTATCAGGTATATCTGAATGTGTACAACAGGGGTTTGAGCAAAGCTTTTACCACTGAATGATGCAAAAAGTCTCAGATCCAAAAGACTTCAGAAACCGTATGAATCACATATGACACGTTTGGCATTATAGGGTTAAAAAGAGAAAAAAGTGCTCTGCAGAGAATTTCCAAATGCTTTTATCTTAAAGTTATTTATTCTCTGCCTGGGGTTGGCTGCTTTCCTCCGTGTTTTGTAAGTGTGTGCTGCTGTCACAGGCCTGGAAAGAGAGGGATCGGTGTTACTCTGTGGATTAGTGAGCTCAGTACCAGCCTGAGGCCTGGTACCGAGGCCTGAGGCGTGCTCACCTCAGTGGATCCGCAGTCGGGCTTCATTTCCTTACAAAGCCGCCTCTCTTGAGCATTCCTCTGTCTCCCCTTCTTATTACCCCCCCCTCAACCCTTAATAATGTTCAATCACTGCCAGCAGACCTCCAACATGTCTGTGGTTTTGTTCACACTTTCTGACTTGTCCTGCTCTCCTGTGTTGAAGTCCTGCTCCCCCTGGTGGTGAATAGGTGAATAGCTTCACTGATTCTGACAGGTATTTATGGGGATTTCATCAGTTAGGTCAGTGTTTCTGATTCAAATAAATGCAGCAGCCCTTCTGCTTTAAAAGCTCTGCGATAAGCTGTTAAAGACCCATTTGTTTAAATCAGCTGGCACCTTTATAATCAAACCCATATTCTTCTTATTTGACAGGAACCAAAGGGCTTCATTTGTGGCTTGATTCTGAAAAATGTCCTTCACATCCACACTATAAATTAAAAACCAAGAGAGATTACTGTTGCTTCAATGCAGCTTTAATACCATTTATGTCTGAAACTGCTGAAAAATATTGGATCCAACTTAATTTTCTCCCCCGGTTATGATCGGAAACGCTTTTTTGAACACTTGTTGAACCTGTAATTTAGAAGCCATATGTTCGATTTAACCCGACTAGTGTTGTGATTGGATGTTACTTTTGCAGAGTTAAAGAAACCTTTGTTTCTGTGTTTTGTTTTCCTTCTTGAGGTGTGAACTGTGAGATCAATGAGGACGACTGTGCCAGTAATCCCTGTGAGTACGGAGAGTGCCATGACGACATCAATAAGTACACGTGTGTGTGCGCCCCCGGCTACACGGGTACGTTTCC